CTGATCATGCACTCGTGTGCGCGAAATTCTCTCTGCGCTTTGGCGGAAAACAGCAACTTCACCCGAGAAGACTCGATTTGATGAAACTGACCAACCCAAACATAGTTACTGCCTACTAAAACACGTTAGCTGCTGATCTAAACAGTCTGTCATCCTCGAACGTTGACAACCAATGGACTCGCATCCGTAACGTCATGCATAAGTCCGCCACCACAGCATGTGGCTTCACCAAACGCATCATCAATCACTGGGTTTCGGCACGTTCTCTCCAACCCCTCGACACTCGTCGAAGCATCCCTCCAGGCAATGAATACAACACAGTTCGCAGGACTCTCAGTGCTGAACTGAAACGGTTCCTAACATAGGATCGAGAGACCTAGTGGGCACAATGGAATTATCCTCTGCTTCCGGTAATGCTCACAAACTTTTTCGACTAATCCGAGTCACCGGTAACAAAAAACCATTTGCTAAATTAATGGCGAATGTATCCACAATCTACAACGTCCGCTTGGGCGCTGGGCAGAGCACTTTCATCAACAATTCAGGTGGCCATCGACATCACCTCCATCTCCCGATATCTGTAGTGCTCCATGGTCTGTGGACATTTCATCGCCTACCGAAGAAGTCACCCGAGAGATCAGACTTCTGAAACGCAGCTTCACTAATCTTTCTGCACAAAACCAAGCGTCTTCTCGTGGAATCAAATTTAGATAAGCCTGATCCCCAATTAATCTCCTCTTGTATTTATCTATCCGAGTGTACTTGTGGTAGCAAGTACGTTGGACGAACTGAGAGAAGGCTGTCCGTAAGGAATGCCGAACACATTCCCAAGAATCTAGCGCTGAAGGAAAATAAAGTTCTTAAAAGCTCTATTGCTCGCCACATATTAGACTGTAACTTGTGTGTTGAGCCTAGCAAGTCTTTGAGGATCATAAGTAGACAACAACACCATCGTCTACTTCAATTTGCTGAAGCCTCTGCCATTCGATGGCCTAAGCCCAATTGTGGCCAGTCTTGCCCTGCCCCGTCATGCGTTCACTCGCCGTGGTTGACTGTGTGACCTCTACCCCTGTCCTGTGATTGGCCCAATTGGTGTGCTCATTTATCCGATAACCTATCATCTTTGTCGTTGCTTAACCTTGATTGTCATTGTACGTACGCAGCTGATTGAGAGTACCCGAAATAACTGAATTCATGAAATGCGGTTCTTCCTCGGCGTGAAGAAATTTGTTAAGGGAATTGGATACATAAAACATAATGGATCGTTCGTGAAGCGAAAATAGTCTGACTACTGGCACGGTTTCAGTAGTGTGAATGTATTTTCATTAATTGTCGTAATGAGGATGAGTTCGTTTATAGATATAACACTTTGTGATTTCGAAATGTACTGTGGTTAGTCGTCGTTGGTCTTCGCCGAATACCATATGATTTCCTGGCTATCGATCGAATTTACTTTGATGGGAATCTTTAGGTTTGAGAGTAGTTCTAACAGGTCAAATAGCTCTGGCTTGAATAATACCTTGGTTAAGCGGCCATTTGTTGGAAGATAAGGATATATTTTCCAGAAGACCTCTAATTGGAGTTCTGTTACATTTCCTTGAACCATTCCTTCAATCTTTCGTCTAACTATGGCACTTGATTCTCGCCCCTTATTCTGAGATTTTGCTCGTTCTCTCAGGTGAACCGCTAATGGATGGATCAAACCAGAGTAATTGTCAATGAAATTTGAGGAAGTCTCGGTGACATAGTACTTTATAGGGACTCAGTTACTCCTCGGACTGAACTTAGCGGTGGAAAGTTTGGAGCCCAAAGGCATAGTGGGCAGCACCTTCGAACTCCTTCCTTGGACTCTAAAAGTTTCACTTTCGAACGTAGACTTGTATCGTAACTGAAAGTAGGAAAAGAAGACTACTTTTGCATGAATCACTTTACCTACTATTATAATACAGCACGTTTGAAATATGTTGTGTTTACGTGTACCGCGTGTTAGCTCAGTTTAGAAGGTTTGGGAAATGCAGATCGTCAATGACCGCATAGCCCCTCCCCCCCTCGTTTGACGTCTGTATTAATATCAGATTTATCTGTGCGTTCGAAAACTTACGGTTTCTATGCCTTGCATTACCCTGACTTTCATGACATTTGTTCCTCTCATAGCTTAGTGTTTCAAGCCTCATTCACGAAATTGAATACGATATTGTCCCACATCTCACGCAACGTATCTGTAAGAATAACCGCTTATGTTTTGACTTTTATTGGCCGAATGCCAATAAAATGCCCGCTTCCTCGATTTCGACGATGCTTGCTGGTGAGTCGGTTGTAAAATAACAAAGTCACAGTAAAAAACCAATTCGAATTTATTTCTTAAAATGACTCATAGACTTGATACATGTATTGTACTTTCATTTAATAAAATAGGAGTCATTCATAAGAAAAAATGAATTTCTATGAAACTTTGCATAAAATATTTTCCAGATCTGAGCTGTTACTTTCAAACGACCACAAACTTTATCGTTTCATTCAAGGTCGCGTAGATTCAAACGATGATAGAAGATAACGAAGAACATAGAAGTGGGAGATAAAATCAAAAATAAGTGCACTTTACCCATAGCCATCAATATACACGCCTGCTGTTTCAAACTGAAATGTACTTCCAAAATGAAAGTGATTCTGCACAAGTTTGATCCATTCCCGTAGTTTTCATGAGTTTCTCGCAACGATATCGAACCCTACTTTAGCTGAGGTAATTCCCATTTAACTCACAGTTACTTGTGAATAGTGTTGTGGGATAATTGATATTGATTTATTGATTGATTAGAAGTGACCGTCCTTCAGACTTCACCTGAACGCACATTCCTCACCTCTTACAGTTAACCATACATTCGGAAGCACTAGACTCGAGTTCTACTGTTAATAGAGCTCATCAGTAGTGCACATTCACTGTCCCGTCCGGGATTTGAACTCCGGACTCATTGCGTGCAAGGTGTGTGTGTGTGTTATCACTGTGCCAATCAGCTCTCATAAGAGTGAAACTCGAGTCTAGTTTTTCCAAGTGTATGGTTGACTGGAAAAGGTGAGTAATGTGCCTGAAGGTGAAGTTTGAATGATGGTCAGTACTAATCAATCGGTCAATCATTAGGTGAGTTAGTCGAGAATAATTCACAGTAGCGGAAAAATTTTAAATTCAACCTGAATTCCCCGGGGGGTAACATTTGAACCATAGGCAACAGACTTTCAGTTCAGTCCATTCAGAGCTTGACCGAAAACACAACCAGAAATTAGTGTGTTGAAGATTTCACACAACTCTGCCTGAAAAACACCACCACCACCACCATCATCATCACCACGGCCATCAGTATTACCATCATAGAAGTATTCTGATAGATTGCTTCACTGGTAAGGAGGGACAGTGCCAATGAACCCATTTTTTCTCGAGTGATACATGATTCTCGGCAAATTAATGATCAATTTCTTGTTTCAATCACTTGACCCCCTTTAACTGTACCAGAATACCCCGTTGCCTCCGGGACCCAAACCTTCCAATTTTGGTGAAAAGGTGCCATCATTTTTACCGGGAGTGCTGTTTGACAATCCGCATTTCGGGACGCAGTTTGGTGATGTTTTAGTTCAACCGCAGGAGATCTACACAGATGTGAGTTTTGCTGTCGTATCATTTTTGTCACTATTTCACTATTTCACTTATATGTCACAAACCGATCAAATGTGCCAATTCTCGATCATGTTGAAACAAGCTTTGCCCGAAAATTTCACGTAGACAAAACCGGCTGCAAAAATCATCCACATGGTTGATTCGTGTTACATTACAATTGGTGNGGCAGGGCAAATCAGTTGTGGGAGGAACAACTCACACAAGTGAAACCAAATGCAATTTACCAGAACAGAAAATACAACAAAACAAAATATCCTTTGCTCAGACACAGGATGGGGGTTGACTTGTTGATGATGATGTCAGCTTTTATTAGCATCGTGTTTAACACCCTCGAAGTGCCATGCTGCAATCAATGGTTATCGAGCAATCGATGATAGCATTATTATGGTGATGTCGATCGAATCTGATGTGGATTGTGCATGTGGCAAGTCAATGGATTGTTTCAAACAGTTCTTATCTAACCAGAAATGAAACTATGTGAGTCAGCTAGGCATTTACTTTCCCCGATGCTGTTTGTGGCCTACGACTGACTGATACATTTGGCATAAATGCTGTGGTCAGATAGATTGATCAGTCGATTAGTTGATCGATTGACTGACTGTTTGAATGCCAGCTTGACGGCAATCGGATGTAGTGTGACGTGTGTGTCGGTGTTGGCGGCCTGCCTGCCTTCCTACGCGTTGCCGTTTCTGCTTGCTCCCCGGTTTGTGAACCGGCTACTTATTTGCTGTTTACAATAAACATACAGCCTAATTCCTCGTGTGCTCAACTACCTACTAAATCTGGGATATAACACCCCTGGGTGACCGTTCTATGATCAAAGCACAAAAGGTATGAACAATCACCTATATTCAACCACAATGACGGAAATTACGATAACCCTTTTTATGGGCACTGATGTCACTAACTGCCTTGCTCTTGTCTGTTGGCTGGTTGCAATTAAGTAGTCTCTGTGCTTATGATTGTTGTGAATAGAAGAACAGTCACGGGGGGTGGGTGGGTGGTCCATCGTGAACGGATGGGTGTTCTCGCATTGCCGTATTGGTCGAGGAAGACCACCGACCGTGATTAAGTATGTTGTGATACAGCTTTGTCCATCATGCGGTCTGTTTGCGTACAGAGAAACCAAAACAGTCTGTCCTAATTTGTGTGAATCTGACACAGCGTCAAATAAGACTATGTTGACCATCCATTTGCTCTACAGGTAGCAAGTAACCTGGCTGTGCAACAGCTAGAGAAACATTCTCGAGGTAGAAAATGGAGCTGTACTGGGTATGGTACTTGATGCTGGATAAACCTCTTAGTGACGGATTAACTCGCAAATAATGGGTGTCGAATCTATGGTCGGAAAAATCCCAAGGCTCAGATATTCACGTGTACTGATAAGGAACTCAATTTTAGAATGACAAATCAATTATACGACGGACCTCAAATTAGGGTCAACTGGATCGGAGAACGCAGTCAGTCTGACAGGGTAAAGACAATATCGGATGTTCTCCACTCGTTGTAATCGCGATAAATTTGAAGAGCACGCACATGAGGTGGCTTGAATGTCAAGGTCTACAACGGTGGGGTCAAACAGCAACGGTGATATAACAGTGAATAAGTATAGATTTTTTGATCCGGAAAATGTGAAACTAGCGTGCTGAATTTCAACCGAAGACAACAGATCTTTACAACCTGGATTCATTCTCTTAGGCAATTTATCTACCAAACGTATCATTTGGCAAACAAACTACAGAAAAAAGATGTGGTGAAATTCATCTGAACGTGAGTTACAAAATCTTACGAAATTGCCTGTCCGAAGCAAAAACGGTTACTTTGTTTTCTGCCCACGCCTAGTGATCTAAACAACAGTTTACTGGTATGCCGATAGTTATCGTCAGTTTACGACACTGGACCGTGAAATATTATGAGAACCTTTAAGTGTCATGGAAAATATTTGAGATTATCGACAAAGAGCTGTTTCGTTCTGATTGGGACTCGTTAGGACAGCGTACTTTTTGTGTCCATGTCAGGACTCGAACCCTTACCCCTGAGCTACACGGTCACATTGTATGAATGGCTCAATCATGTTTAGACGGCGAATGTTTGGATTAGCCCATTCGGTTTTTCGCACGCACCAGGCATTGCGGAAACTCACATCCAAGGTCATCAACACCGTCTAAATGTTATGAGAATCACCTGGCTATCTTCTGGATGAAATCAACTAGTAAGAAAGCCTCTAATCAGACATCGTATAGTGCGCTAGAGGTGGATGACGTTTTCTGTTTTGTCGATGACAGTGTGAACCTGTCTATACCTTTTTCAGTTTAAGATGTCCGAGTAACAATTCAAGATGTCACGTTGCTATGTTTTCACTCTGTACTGTGCAAGGTACTATCCAAATCGCAAGATGATATCTTAAAGTGATATTCGGACATCTTAAACTCATATTGTGACATCTTAAATTGGATTTAGGACATATTAAACTGAAAAAGGTATAGCCTCGTGAAATTATTTTACTCAGTACATCTAAACATAAAGTTCACTTTAGAGAACAGGGAGAATGAGCAGATTTCGTTTCTGGACGTTCTACTAAGTCGTCGATAGGACGGCACTATCCAGTTCCCTATCCACAGGAAGCCGTTGTGGAATGGTCAGTATATCCATTTCAAAAGCTGTATCATTGAAACGGAAAATAAATCTGATTTAGTGCCTAGCTACCAGACCATGGAGAGTATGTACTTATGCTACTATTGAGAGCAACCTGTGGTTTATCCGAAACCTTTTCCTTCATCATGGATACCCAGAACGATTTGTGGACAACATTCTGAGGTGTCACCGGTTGGCAAATAAGATCACTATAGTTGAGAAGAAACCGGTGTACATAACGCTAACTTTTAAGGGCCATACAACTGCTTCAGCTGCTTAAATGTGAACTTAATACAGTTGTGGAAAAAGCATTGCTTGCAGCAAAAATTCGTATTGTATTTTCTCCAGGCCCCTTTTGTGCATTCAACTCAACGATAAATTGCCTGATTTTACAGCCTCTTTCTCTGTATACTTGTTTAATTGTTCCTGTGTGAAAAGTTATGTTGGTCGCACGAGCGAACGTTTACCTGAACGAGTCCGAGAGCATCACCCGGCCTGGCAGAATAGTGGGGTGATTAGAACTATAAACAGTTTGATCGTTTCACACTTATTTGAATCAAACCACGTGATTAATGTGGTCAAGGCGCTTCAACCCCCATCTACTTGGTCCGCAGCCGCCAATCTAAAGGGATTAGAAGTCGCATTCTGACCACCAAGGANCTTCTTAAAATATAGTAGATTAAATTGCCACTTTTGTCGCACTCTACCCTAAACATAAACCCCATTTGCAGAGAGTGGATATTGGAGGTTTCATCCGTTCACCTAAGTCAAACGATCCTCTTCAGGGAAGAACAATAATTTAGACCTTACCCTACAAATAATTCTTGAGAGTTTAGGGAATTTCCGATGCTCAGAACAAGGCTTCTTCACCCTAGCCTCTCGGCGGAAGTGAAGCTTTGGAGTACAGCCAATCGGTTTTGGAACTGGGAGTAGCTCGATTCCATATTCCCAATGAGTTGTTATTCGCATTTTGTACAAGTACATTCGCTTGTTTTAAGGTGTGTTATCCTAAGTCATTCGGGTGATTGAACCATTCTAAGGGCAGATACACAATCGCCTATAGTCGTTCCCAGCATAAATCAAGTTGTTCTTTTCCGCATATCCACACATTTTTGGAAACAAACAAGAAAGAATAACATCTGTCCCGTCCATCTCCTACTCGTTTCAACATATCCTGTATGGTTTGGGTTCGTTGTCTCTCAATGAATCGTCTATGGAGGACAGTTAGAGAAATGATGAAGAAAATGCACATATGCAGTGTCCAATTGCTTTGTCTAGTAGCAAATTTGTATGAGATCTGATTAAAAATTAATCACCCCATTGCGTTCGAATCGTACGATCCGCTTGCGGAATCTGTTCCGTTTTGCCAGGTTTATGTGTGTGCGTGTATGTGTGCTCCAAACAGTCCGCATTGATCGATCGATGAATGCAATGGTGTGGCAGAAATTCGCGTGAATATGTCATGAAAATATCCTCTTCCATTATCCAAATGTTTCATCTACTGACTGATTTCTCACTGCACCTATGTTCAACTTCATTTGTTTTATATCACACTGTATATGCAAAATAATAGAACTATATTTAAACGTACTGATTTACACAACATGGAATTCTTTGAATACATTCACTCTGGTAACTTAGAAGTTTCGCTGTTAACCAAAAAACGCCCACAATTGCAATCAGAGGACAGGTAGTAGGCGAACATATCTTTTTGACCAATTCATTTTCAAGACAACTATGTAAGGAAGTATTGTAGCGTTGGGCGAAACGACCGGACTACACGAACCGTGACCTGTGATACGTGCGGCAGCGGTGACCCACGAACGGAACCGTACGACCTAGCGGTATAGTAGCGATACCCGGTATGCGTTACTGCGGTACCCCAAACAAGACCAAACCGGACAGAAACGAGAGAATGCCCCACGAACCTGTACGATCCCCGGAACCCGACCAGAGAGAACAAGGTAGGCAAGCGTTCCGGCGAGTTTGTGTAATTGGCTCGACCGTGAAAGGCGGAGAAAACGGGCAACTCATCTGTTTATATACACTTCGGGGACCGGCCGTCAACGACCTTGGAAATTAGCTTGAATGTAGTAAGTCACAGGAAGATGAACCAATGAGGGTCGAGTACGGGTGGTAGTGCTGAATGAGTCTTCCTTGGCGCGAAAATCTGGGAATTTAAATTTGTTAAAAATAATCGGAAAATAGGGGAAAATAGAAAGAAATAGTCACTTCTAGGGTGAATAATGTGGTCTGCATATCAGAAAGTACCGAGACGATGATATGTTGCAGCGGGGGGAGAGGGGAGTTACACAGTCGTGATCAATTAATGACGTTTCGCTCTGGTTCTCTTTTTCAAATGAGAATGGGTTACACTAGTGTTGGTACTGGATTTCGGTCTTCACTATACCCATGCATGGTAATTTCCATTTTTGGCCAGGAAAGTTTGAGTATTTTTTGTGCCCAATCCC